GCCTAACAGAGCCAATTCCAGCGCTTATACTCGGGTTCGATGCTTTCAGTCATCGTCCACGACTCATGACCGTAGGTAAGCACGGGCGGGGATAAAAATCGATTGAAATATGGGGAGTTTAATTTGCTGATTAAGGTCTGCTTCAGTGGCAATGGACCGGCTAATTGACACAGAATGCCACTGGCAACTACGATTTGCCGCTTCGTCACTTCCTCAAACTTTCCATCACTAGCAAATACGACTCCGAGGTTCTTCAACTTCTCAACCTGCTGCACTGCCTCTCCTCAAAACTGAAGACAGCGACACATAAGACACGAGAAAGCACTAGGCTTTTCTCCATAGATGCGCTCACACGGATGCCGATCCAGTGGTGCTCGACTGCGAACCGTTCTTATGAGCGTCGTAGAGCAGTTTCACGAGAAATCATAAAAGCAAGGTCGTCTGCAAACAGCAATCTCCTCACATATATATATCACCTACACCGACACGCTCATTGCCTTGGCTTCTTCTCACTATTCTGTCCATGTACAAATCAAACAGGAGAAGGGAAAAGAAGCAGACTTGGCGAAAACAAGACCAGTTCCAGCGTTGAACGCGTTTGACTAAACGCCGCTTACTCTGACGCAGCACCCGCCATCAAAATAAAGTGATTGGATGGCACTTAGAAGCTGGCTATCTATCTCGCATGAACGAAGGCACGATCACAGACTACTGGGTGGGATTCGGTCGAGCCATTTCTGGCCAACAAAACACATGTGCATCGAACGGACGTACTCCCACCATTTCTCAACAATCAGACGCAGGACAAACATATTATCACAGGTGCTTCAAACGGGCTGGAAGCCAAACTGCTCTTATTGTATCTCGAGGTCATTCATTTCTCATCACCTTCTTTCTAGCACGTTTGCATAGACTTTAACTGAGAGGGTCAATTACATATTGCCGTATAATTGGAGCATTCCTTGTGGACTCTCTTATTGAATGCGGGTACAGTAACACGGGTTTTCCTGTCCATTGGTGTCTTTCTCGCAGTCATCGCAGTTTGAGAGACATGAGCAATCCAGCACATGCATTATTCCCCAAATGCCTTGAACATCTCAGGGCGCATTTCATTAATTTCGGCAGCCTTTCCGTTTCTGAGGCATTTCACAGCTTGTATAATTTCATCTACAGAAATAGTAACATCCGTTCCCTGCTGCTATACAATCGAGTTTTCCTGCGGTTGCACGGGGTTAAGTAGTTCGTTAAAGCACTCCCTCGATCGATAAGAATGTCAACATCCTTGATAAGAGCGTTCCAGACCTGTCTATCAAAAGACTGAGAATGACCTTCTTTTCGTCTCGCAGTCGGCAGATGGTCTGCCGGAACAGCTTCTTTGCCGTGTAGAAATTCGACACCAACTCCTCACTGAACTTCTCCCAGGAATCAACCTTCTTTTTCGCAACTGCTTTCGCTGACGCAATGTGTGCCTCTACATATCGCAGGCTAGTAGAAGACTCTTTGTTTCAAAACCATTTCTAGAACGCTGCTTTCTTCTCTATTATACCTCTCGAGTAACCACCCCAAAGATCTTTTATGATCACCAGGCGGCAGGCCAACTCGTTTAAATCCGTACAGCGATTCGCGACAGCCCGAATTATGGTGCTCTTAGGGAGCTGCCACTCGGTTTCAACATCAGTTGTCATCACTGGGATCTGTTCAAACCGTCGTCCGATGTTATTTGCAAATTTCGCTCTCGTGTACACCAAAGACAATGTTTCCCATTTGATTCTCCGGTTGCTTCTGCCACCAGATCTTCGTATGGTACTCCATTTCTTACAGTGCAGCGTTCCAACAGCAAGGTGATGATCGGTTGACAGCTCTGCGCCTCTCTTAACACAAACATGCATTACTGAGCGTCTTAGGTCAGACGATACGATTATCAAATCGATCATCGACTTCTGTGCACAA